GTCTCGAAATCACTATATATACATATATATATATATATACTCTCACTCAACAACAACGGGAACAACGTTCAGCAAAAGCTAGCTCTATCTCACTCCCTCTCGAGCTGAATAAGCTGATGAGGATCTACTGCAGACTGGAATATATAATAATATATATAATAATTGATCAACCAAAAATTGGCCCCATTCAAAAGGAATAGTATTCAGCAAACTTGAATCCGTGTCACGCTCACATCGCTGGCCGTAAGTCAAGTTCTGTGTCAGCATTTCCAGCTGCCATAATTCATTTGGCACTCGATACAAAAGTCTTGAGCAATTAATTCACGCGCTCGGTATTGATAAATCAATGTGAGATTCGCTTTCAAAGGATAATTAATGCGTTTCACAGCAACGCGGTCTGCCTGTGACAGCGTGAGTGTGTGTGTGTTTGCGAATGTGCGTGCGTGTATAAGCAAGTGTGTGTGTGTGTGTTGCCTAGTTTGGCTGCACATAACCGACCAATTAACACGAAACACAAAATTTCGTGGAAAACACTTTCTGGCAAGAAAATATTTTTAGCAGAAAAAATGATTTTAAAAATCAGTATCCAGTTCCATGTGAGACATATGCACATATATTATGTATTATATTTAGCATGTGCATATGTGCATTCTCTTTAGTGCACGGGCAAAGCCTTGAACAAATTTCATTTAAGCGCATTAAGGATGTGCCCAAGCAGAGCCATCCACACGTGGCTGAGGGTGGAGTGGGGCGCTGGGCGCTGAGCGGTGGGCGGTGGGCGCTGTCAGCTGGGTGGTGGCTGCTCGGCGGACATGTGGAGACAAGCTTTTGTAATTAAATTAGCATTAATGTTGTCTCGGGGATTGTGGAGTGGCAGCACTGGTTCATTGCCATTGTCGTCATCAATGTCTGTTCGCCTCGTGCGACTTCATAAAAGATCGCTCATACGTCATGGGAGCCAAGTGGGCCTGTCCAACGAAGGACGCACCTCCTGTGCCACTCTTCGCAGTAGTTACGTCCTTAATTTTATTTGTATAGCAATTGAGAGAGAGCGACACCGCCCACTGCAGAGCCAATTCCAAAATTTGAATATAAACAAATACCAACTACAGTAAAAGCAGAAGCAGACTCAGTCAAAGTTTCCATGAAACTTTGGCAAAGATTTTATGCATTGTTCCTAAATCGCAAAGAGGTATATTGAGTTTTCTGTAAGAAATCGATGCTGCTAATCTTTTTGGAATAAACTGTTAAGCAATATTTTGTTTGACTGCAGTTTGTTTGAAAACTAAATTTGCAGACTCGCCAACTTAAGCACTACAGAACAAAATGTAGTGAGCAGTCAGTGCTTTAGCTCCAGTTTTGTCAATAGAAAATGATAAAAGCACTGGGGCAAAAACACGAAGCTAAAGTTAAGCAAAGTTTACCGAGACAAAAAATGAAAAAAAATAACAACAAATAAAATCCAAAGTCAAGCCAAGAATGAAACAGCTTAAAGAAAAAGTTATTAATAATTCCTGAGTGAATATTGAATCATACTGAATAACCAAAGAGAAATGAGAAACTATACAAGATAAGTATGTATATTCATCCATCTATATCTAGTACTTGAAGTTTATGAAAGAGCATAAAAGCAAATAATGTTTATTTCCTTCCCGTTTTTAATAAGAAAAAAAGAGAACTATAAAGCCAGAGAATAATAAAACAAAAAAATTGTATGAAAAGGTATTGAATAATTAGAAAAATGTAAAAGAAAAATATATGAGAGAAAATAAACTGCAGTTAGTTGAGTGGTTGGGATGAAGGAACAATAAAATTGAAAAATGGGCATACAAAGAGTCCATAGGAAAGAGCTGAGTAGTACCTCTATTTATATATAGTATTCCCAATTATTAGGTAAAATGTGACTTCGATTAACTGGTTTTGGATTGAGTGGATGGATGAAGATTAAATAAAGCTATTAATTAATTATAAATTAGAAGAATAATCTTACAAAGAATCCATAGGCAGGAACAGAGTATCTTCTAGTCAGTGGGTAAAATCTAAATTTACCTTAGAATTCTTTTATTTAATAATTTATCAATTTATTGCAACATGCAAATAAACATAAAATACTCTTGGCATGTCTGTAAATAAATAACACAATATAAACAAACTATTTTTGGAATAAGATTCAAAGGGTTTTTCAACCCAAACGGAACTCGACCTGAAAATTGTCTGCAATTATGCTTAAATGGAAGTCGATTTAGAGTCTGCAAGGGAAATGCCAATGAAATGCCAATATACGAGCACTTTGGCTAACAATGAAATTTGTATTATTTCGTTAAAGGAAATAACGTTTCAACATTTCAGCATTTGAAGGTTTGCATGGCAAAATGTATTTTATGTGCCAGCTGTTGCCGTAATACACCGCACAAATGAAAGTTGTGTTAGAGCTAAGCAAAGACTCGAGACACTTCCACCGGATGTATATAACAAGAAGCACTTGTGTGTAAGTGTGTGTGTGTGTGTGTGTGTGTGTGTGTGTGTGTGTGTGTGTGTGTGTGTGTGTGTGGGTGGTAAAGGCTTGGCAGTCTTTATGTTGCTTGAAAAGTTTGTGAGTGTTCTTTAAGCAAATTGCCAGTATAAATATTGCAGCAACCAGCAGCAGCAGCAGCCGCAGCAGCAACAGCCGCAGCAGCAGCAGCCGCAGCAGCAGCAATAACAACAAATGCGACCCTTGTCGCAGCTGTGTAAACAGCGCCAACAACAAACTAATATTGCTGACGTCAAAAGACGAACACACACACACGCACATGCACTAATACAGAGGCAGTTAAACAAAATGCATTTCGCTTGCCTCGGCTACTGCCTAACAGAGGCTCGGCCCCGCTTTAGCAGCTCTGTCGGCCACTTCTGCTGTTTTATGCAGACAACGCAACGCAACGCTGCTGAATGGCCGCACCGGAAGTAGCTGGTCGCCATTTGCTTTGCTGCTCTGGTGCTGCCTGCCGCACGCGCGATTCAATTTGATCTGATTTTATTGCTGTTGCTGTGGCCATTATTGCTGTGGTTGCTGCTGCTGCTGTTGTTGTTGCTGCTGGTGCTGCTGGCATTGTTGGCTGTGTTTCGTGTAGTTTATATTTAAGCATTTCGTGTCTGTATTTCGTTCTGTTTGTCTCTGGCAAACTGGGCACACAAATCATTAGCTGCTCCATTTGAGAAACCAATGAGCAAAATGGCCAACAAGGATTTGCATTAGCCGCTTTCCGCTTAATCTAGTTTCCTTATACAATTATATTGGTCTCTGTGGCTATGCCGACCGAATAAGTCAATAAACAAAATAAGCAGGAGACTTGAAGTCGGGTACTACCGACTGCGTAATACTCATTTTGGATAAAGTACAAAAACTATTGGTTACTAAAAATTAATTCATTTATTAATTAAGGAAGGAAAGGAAATAGTTTTCATCAATATACCACGCCCTTTAAGAGGCTTAATCATTTACATTATTCGCTCAATTTTAAGTTTCTTACCGTATCCAGTGGACGTAGCTCTAAACAATGGACTATATCCGTTAAATCTATTTGACCTTTGCCTGTATTCATTCCCAATTTGAACTCTTTTGTGAGATACAGGAAATATCTGTTTCCGTTTTAGCAAGCAACAGGAAAATCATTAAACTCTATTATTTCAACCCTGGCGGATATTGCACAAAGCCAATATACTCGATTTCCTTTCGTAAATGAGTACAACAAATATATATATCCCATCCCAATGACACATGGCTATGCTACGTACGTACGTATATACTAAGCACGTAAACACGAGGATGCCTGAGCTAAGATGCTTCTTTAATGTACACAAATGAAATAATAATAATCTCATCGATTTCTTATGCTCATGCTGAAAGCATAATTAATGCTGCTTAATAACAAATCGATAGATGATAATATGGAACTGACTTTCGAAATATTAAGTAATTAACGTTGACAGAAGGTCTAGCTTCATACGATTTCAGATTTCATGCTGAGGAAATTATAATGTCGTTATATAAATTATTGTTTATGTGCAGTTAAGTAAAAATTTCTGATTCGCTTAAGTCACGCATACCTTTACAGTCTGTCTGTCTCCATAAATACTTTCAGACTGTCGCAGCATTAATATCAAGAAAATCTAAACAGTATTTCGCCTATCGAGTAACGGAAAATATATTCCATCTGCAGGTGCTTAAGCAGATATTGAATTCAGTGCAAAATACTTGTCTGTTATACTCGCTCAAAAATCAAAATGAGAATATTAGTTTCATACCAAAATCCAGTCAATATCTCTTCTAATTGATTCCAATCATTTTAATAATCTGCAATCCTTAAGACTCTGACCATTACAGCTCGGAAAAAATGTTAAGAGTTGCATTAGATCTGAAGCATGATGTAATCTCAAGATTTATATACCTCCTTCTGGCTGTAGGTGACCTCAGAGCAGGCATAACGGGTTGATTGTACCCTGTAATAATATGTTTCTATCACTTGCGCTCTGTCTGCTTTCATTCTACGTTTTCTATTCAAACTAATTGGGACTGGAGCAAGTTAAGTCTTAGCAGCTGTGATTCCTTTGAAGCCACCTGCTTAAGTTGGCATTCAGAAGATGTTGAATTGAAGCCAGACGCTTCCATCTGTGCGCATCAGGTAACTAATTCGAGGAATATTTGTTTATCCAACAAGTGCCTCAAGTGGCAATTGAAAGCCACACGGCGTATACTTGATGCCCGTCTAATTAGGGCCTTAATAGGCTGGCGCAGAGCTGCACTCGCAGTAGTCATCGACGTGTGAGCAGCAGTTGACTAAGAGCTCGTTTTGTCACTTGTTCTACTTGCAGCAATAACTGAATTTGTGAGAGCGACAGCAGCAACGGCAACTGTAACCGCAACAACTGAGAGAGCTGAAGCAAGCCACAAGAGCAGCAAGAGCAACAGCAGCAGCAGCAGCAACAGCAGCAGCAGCAGCACTTGTTAAGTGTGGTAGGTGCGAGGCAAAGTAAAGAGCAACGCCTTCACATTGGATTACGCGCAGTTTTACTTTAGACCGGAGCCAATTAGTGGCCAACAGCAACAACAGCAACTACAGCAGCAACTAGCGCAACAGCAGACGCAGCAGACGCAACAACAGCTGCAGCTGCAGCGACAGCAACAGCAGCAAGTGCAGCAGCAATTGCTCGCCCAACAGCAGCAGCAACTGCAGATCCAACAACTTCAACAGCAACTGCTGCTGCAACGGCTAGAGCGTGAGTTGCAGCAGCAACAACACCAACAGCAGCTAGCCCAACAGCAGCAGCAGATTCTCTACCATCAGCGACAGCACTACGGCCGACATCGCTGGCTCTCGGGCAGCAACCACTACAATTACACGCCCCTGCACCAACACCAGCAGCAGCAGCAGCACCATTACCAGCAGCAGCAGCAGCAACAGCAACAACAGTACAGCTATTACTTCAGTCGCGGCAGCAGCAGCAGCAGCGGGCTGGGTCTGGGCCTGGGCTTGGGCTTGGGTTTCGGTCTGGGCGGCAGCAATCTAGCCAGCTGGTACCATCTGCCATCGACGTCGGCGCACATTTACATCGGCAGCAGCAGCACTGGCGGCGCTCCTTATCCGTATCGGCTGGGCTACAGCGGCGGGGGCTATCCAGCAGCGGCGCTAATCAACTTTGAGACGTCGCCCACACCGCTGCTCTCGTCAACGGGCAGCTCGCCTGGCTACTTGCCGCCACTGCCGGCCCCGGCACTGCCACCGCCACCACCGGCGCCCAGCGTAGCCACCGATTACTACTTCAGCAGCAGCAGCAGCAGCCGGGCGCCCGCCATAGTCAGAGCCGAGCCGTTCCAGGAGTACACAGCGGCGGCGGTTGCAGCGGCGGAGGAGGAGCTACAAGCTGGCGGCTATCGTTACAAGGCAACGCCACGCCGGCGATACGACGCCTACGACAACTACGGCTATCTGCCGGGCCTTGCCAGCACAACCGAGGACGAGGACGACCTGCTTGAGGAGTGCCTGCCAGCGGCCCTGCTATCCACGGACTGCGAGAGCCTCGAAGACGTGCGCTTTCTCGAATACAACAGCAACCACCACCCAGAGTACTACGACGAGGACGACGAAGAGGCCCAGCTGGCGCACATACTCGATCTTGATCTGCCCGATTTTCTGCGCCCTTACAGCAGCAGCAGCGGCGGCGGCGGCGGTAGCAGAAACAGCCACAAGACGCCGCCACAACACGAATACCAAACGGAGCACGGCGGCGCAGCCGGAGCAGGGGCCAGCGGAGGAGGTGACGGCAGCGGCGGCGGGGGAGGAAGAGGCAGTGCAGCAGCAGCAGCAGCTAGTGGCAATCAGACGCATCGCGAAACGGAACAACAACGCTACCATCACTACCAGCAGCAACAGCAGCAACAATACCCACACCAGCAGCAGCAGCACCAATATCCACACCAGCAACATCAACACCAGCAACAGCAGCAGCTGCAGTCGCAGCAGCAACAGGCCTATCAGTCCTACCAATACCCCTCGCACGACAGCTGTGAGGGCTTCAATCAGTTCGCCAACGACGCCAGCAGCTGCCTGGGCAATCAGAGAATGATGGTTAGCAAGTTGTGGAACAGCTGCTTTCCGGAGTTTACGCCGGATCACGTACATCGGCATAACTTCTACCTGTGCCAGGTGAGAGAAACGACAGCAACAACCAAACTCGACTTGTATACGATTAACACATACCCAGTATATTACATTAGTTTACGTTACATACATTGCAAACAGTTATTTAAGGTTCAGAACTATTAGATATAATATATTCATAGATCTACAGAAGAAGTTTCAGTTCAGCTTAAAATACTTTTACCTCTTGAAGGAAAACTCCAATTGGATTAAATTGTTATTATACAAAAGCCTAAGCATTTGGCATGAGTAGGAATACAAATTTGCATTTGCATAAATTATTAGAATTATATGTTATTTCATCTACTGAAGAGGATTCCAATTTTTATAATTAACTAGCTATATCTTTTGCACGAAAGCTCATATTTTAATGATATTTTATTGAATATGAAAATTAATCAGTTGTGACAAAGAACAATTTCTAGAAAAAAATTTTCAACCAATAGGAATAGGTAATTTTTGGGTCATTTATCGGTATATATAAATTGTTTATCCTACACAGGATCTAGCACTACTGAGTCATATATAGAAAATAATATACTAATATTTACGGATGGCATCAACAAATGAGTTGAGCTATTCCTATCCGAAACTCCTTCAGTCTAACTCTATTCGTGAACAATCTCATCTCCAAAATCGACCAATTTTTTCAAAGGATCGTTAGCTTTTGGCAACCGTACTTTTTAATAGAGAAGACATCTCATTTTATATATAAGCAGATTGAAGTTTTATGTAATTATTGATTGAAGTTTTATATAATTATTTTGCATTGACCCCATCCTCATAAATAGAAAAAATATATATATATATAATGTATACATACTCCTCATCACACAATGACGCGAGTCTTAGGATATCTTCTAGTTGGTCACAGCTGAGATTATAGTAGTCTAGCCAATTTAATCAAATATTATCATATGAGTCCAGGTGCTCTGCATACGAAGCAGGTAAAATTGTGTTCAGTGCTCATTTCTAGAGTTATTGAGCAAAGCTTATTAGCATTCCACTCGGTTGAGGAACTGACTAAGGATGGAAGACGAATGAGGGAGTGTATAAAATTTAAGGTACTCGAATCTAAGGTCTTCACATAATACAAATCAATATTTCTACGCCTACCGACATTTGATTTTGGCTAGAAAAAATTGTCGAAAGAGTAGGTTGAATTGACTGCAATTAGCATTTAATTAAACACAATTAAAAGTATCTTTTTTTTTTTTCTTTTTTTCGCAAACTGCGCAGTGGCAGCGCAACACTCAGGTGCGCATTGTGTACCTGTTCTATCGCTGGATAACGGCGATAACATGCTTGGCGGCCCTGGTCTGCTCGCTGCTGGACATTGGACGCACCGATGAGCACTTCGAGCACCACTATGCCAAGTGGTGGATCTACCTGACCCACTGGGGGCTGCTCTTCTGCACGGTGCAGGCATGGCTGGCCGCCTGGATCGTCACCCAGGGCATGATGGTCGAGCGCGAGGACTTTGAGATTGTGCGGCAGGCGAAGAAGAGCCGCCTGCACCACCTCTACTGGGTGCTCTACACCTGCGCCACGGTCTACGCCTTTATTGTAACAATGTGCTACTGGCTGCTCGTCCACAATCCCGGTAAGTAAACAGTGCTCCGAATCAGTATAGAGACATACGTATATACAAAAAGGAAATAGAAAATGTGAAAGAAACAACAACAAAATAGTAAGAGTCAGCTGTTTGTTATTGTGACTCGATTCAATTCCCTGGTCCATACGTCAGGCTAATGGATCGCTTCTCACAAAACACCACCGCCTTGCAGCTCTCAATCTCAATGGCGTCGTTGGCAATGCGACTGACAACGACCAGGCCGCCCACAGTGCAGCCGAAGGCGATGTACATTTGGGCCGCCTGCTTCAGGTAGCTGTACCTCCGGTAGCTCTCCCGGGGAATGGCGTGCAGCTGGAAAGCATTGTACATGGTCCAGGGCCCGAACAGCATCTGGCAAATGGTCAACGGCACGTAGAGGTGCATGGCCAGCCGAGAGACCAGGGCGACGGTGCTGGTGATCAGGACACTGATGCTCAGGAAGATCAGTATCCACAGATTGACGGTGAGGAAGGCAGGCAGCCAGAGGCCCAGCGGCGTATAGATCAGCACGACGACGATGCTGGTCACAATGTAGGGCCAGGTCAGCTCCATGTCGTGCGTGCAGAGGCACATTACGAGCAGGGTGAGGCTCTCGAATATGCTGACGAACACGATCCAGTTGATGGGCGCCGTCAGCTGCAGGCGGCGGAAGCCGAAGAAGGCCAGCGTCAGGTTCAGCCAGATCAGGAAGAGCACCAGCGAGGTGAAATCGCGATCCGGCGAGCTCAGCTGCAGCCGCATGCGGTAGGTGGCCACCAGCCACTGGAGCGTGGACAAGCCCACCTGGACGATCAGCAGCACATAGACGTTGGAGAGGAAGCCGATGCGCGACCTTTCCCGCTCGGACTCCAGCGGTGGTATATAGTCATTGTAGTAGGGATTCGTGCTCGTCTCGTGCGATAACGAAGTATCCTCCAGTCTGACGCTGGTAGTCTGCGTGTCCCGCGTGTCTCGCGTGTCACGCGTGTCATGTGTGTCACGCGTGTCATGTGTGTCATGCGTATCATGCGTGTCACGCGTGCTTCTCGTGCCCGTTTGCGTTTGCGCTTCCGCCGAACGCATGTAAAGCTCTGGCGCTGAGCGAGACTTGCTAGACATGTTGCTTGTCAAATAGCACAGATCCATTTTCCAGACGTGACTGACAGCTGGGGACAGGCTACGCTCTCAAATGAAGCTGAAAACTGAAAAGTGAAAATGGAAAAAAGAGAAAACATCAAAGAGAGCAACAACAATAGCAGAAACAATCAATTGAATACAACAAACATACAACTTGATGAACGATCAGCCGCGCGGATTGCCGCAGAGGTTGCGCAGCTATTATCTGCAACTGTTTGGAGCTGCCCTCGCATACATTCTGTTCGCCGTGATAATGCTCCAGGCGATTGAGGCGACGCGGGAGTATCCCACCGAACGCAATTCCCTAGCTGCTATAATCCTGTACGTCATTGGCCTGGTCTTCTTCGTTATCTATGTGAACGTACTCTGGCTGCGCCGCAAGTATCCGATCAATTGGGCCATCTGCACCACCATCGCCGTGGCGCTGGGCCTGGGCAATGCCTTCCTGCTGATCGCCCAGGATCCGACGACCCTCGTCCATGTGCTGGAGGTTATTGCGATGATGTGTATCTTTGGCTCCATGGGATCCTGGCAGCCGAGGCGCCTGTCGCCCGTGTGGTATGCCGTTATTATGTCTGTGGGCGTGGCGCTGCTGATGGGCATTGCCCTCGTACTAGCGTACTTCATCTCGAAAGGAAAAGCTGACATCCTGCTCTACCTTGTCCATGGCCTACTGACTGTGGCGATGTGTCCACTGATGATATTCCAAGTGCTTGTGTTCAACGGCCTCATCTGGGGAGTGAGGCCCATTATGGACATACCGCTCTGCTCGGTCATCCTGCTGATGGACTTTCTGGCCGGCTACACCTTCGTGGATGCCGACGACGAGATAGCGCATGCCTTTGAAGTACTTTCCGAGTCCAATCTCCACATGATGGGCAGAATGCTCAAGATGTGAGGCCATCGAGTGCTTATTCTTGTTACCCGAACTCGGAGTCCGAACGAGAAATTGTAAATCTGAATTGAACTGCCTTTGATACGTTGTGCCGCATGAATGAGTCTTTTGAATAAACATAAGTCTTGAAAATCCATAGTGCAAATGCAGGCATACATTTTAATGGATACGATTTCTGATATACCTATATAGTCAATATCTATTTGAGATACATCATAGAACATATATGTATATCTGTAAATATTTCGAGTAAGGCAAGAAACTAGTCGCACTTTGAAGCATTCTATGGCATGTTAACTATCACTATATTTTGAATAGATTAGGAAATGTCTCTTTTTGCCCTTTATGTCTTCCCCTGCTCACTTAGCAGCTACCAGCTATGTAAACCATCTTACCTTTCTTTTGAATGAAGATATACTTATTGACCTCAACATTCTTGATCAGCACAACGAGCTGAGATATAGCCCTGTCCGTTTGTCCGTCCCTCCGTCCGTCCGTCCGTATGAATACGTCGATCTCAGAAGTTATAAAAGCTAGAGAGCTTAAATTTGGCATGCATACTCGTGTGTACCATATGCAGTACAAGTTTATCATATTTTTTTCGATAACTCATTCGATAACTTTTTTATCGAGAATAATCGAAAATTTGAAATTGTTTTTTTTTTAACGATTTGTGATTCTCATTTCCATCTATCCGCCATAGATATCCACAAGATTGACGCATTGAACATCATGGTGCACGTATTGAACTCCATCATAATGCTCATCGATCTGGCCATTGTGGGACATCCGATTAAGATGAGCCACGCCTACTTTACAACTGGCATTGGACTGGCGTACGCCATATTCACAGGCATCTACTTCTTGGCCGGCGGCACCGACAGGTAAGCAAGCAGATGGGAATCCCCATTGGAATCACTATTGACACTCGAATCACTCTCTGTGTTAAGGAAAAACCAAACTGCCATCTACCCGATGATGGACTGGACCAAGCCGGGCAAGGCCATCATTGTGACAGTTTGTGCCATCATTTTCACATTCTTCGTGCACTTCTGCTGCTATCTGCTCTACCGCGGACGCGTCTGGCTGTTCACCAAGCTGTGCATTCGAGGCCGCCACAATCGCGACGGCGAGATGGGCGAGGGGCTCAACGATGATTCGGGCTCGCGCTTGGGTGGAGGCGGCGGTGGCATTGGCGGTGCGGCTACTGTAGTGGGCGGCGGCGGCAGCAGTCAGGACTATGCCCATCAGCAGCAATATCCCATTGCGCACACGGAGCAGCCGCGGGCCATTTCACAGCAGCCGCCTGCCAGCTACCAGCTGCCTCCACAGTACTCGGGCTACCTGCAGCAGCCCGTGGTGGCTGGTGTCAATGTGGGCGTGGTCAGTGCGGATGGGGTCTATCAGCCGATTGGCACGGACTCAGGCCGCACGAGCGGTGGCGGAGGCGGAGGCGGAGCCGGTACTGTCGATGGCACAGGCAAGCACAAGAGTTCTGGCACCGGCACCGGCTCCGGCTCTGGCTCCGGTTCCGGCGCTGGTTCGGCCTTGACACGTACTGTCGCCCATTTGGATGCGGCACAGCGGGAGCAGTTCCTCAATCCCAACAAGATCGTCGAGTATAAGATGTAAAGGCGTTGTACCCGGCACCGGTATACGTTCCGCTTGTCCATGAAGTTTCTGGAGAAGCACTGTGCGCAATGCGAGGCGGCACGACAGGCTGTCAGCGAGGAGCAGCGCCATCTGGCGGCGGCCGAAACGCATGCGCACAGTGGTTAGTTTAAGATTTGCTTTTGCCGTTTGATTTCCACGCCCAGTGCCGGCCGGGCACTGTTGGCATTGTGTAGCCTGTATTTGGTATTCGTAGACTGTAAATGTAGTTTCGTAATTTTGTAAAAGCTTTGCCAGATTTTGTAAGCTGCAGCCTACAGTAGTAATTCGTTTGTGCGCAAGCGCCCACAACTGCGTTAGCTCGCTGCTACAGAAACTTAGAGAGATATTTTAGCTATTGATGTATGTAGTTGTCGTATCCTGTATAGAGTATAGACAGACTCATCGATTTTGAGCGATTTCAAATCTTTTCAATGGACTAAGTTGAACATTCTTATGTTCCAACTACACACGCACACACACCAACACCCACAGACTCACACACACTAGCACCTAAAGAGCCAAAGAACAAAACGCTTTCCCTACTTTAATTAACAGCAAATTGTGTTCAGCAAATACATAGGCAACTGCATATATGTACTTATGTATGTATGTATATGTAAACACACAGCGTCCATTAATAAATAATTTTGTTGGCTAAGCTCTTCGAACACAACAAATGGAAAATAAAACACATACTGCCTAAAGCCTGGCGCACACTCACACACACGCACACACACACACATGTTTTATTATTTACAATCAACTTTCTGGTAATTTTTTTTTTTAGTTTTAGCTTTATTTGAAGAAAACCTTATATATGTATCGGTGCAGGAGTACAACAACAGCAAGCGCAAGCTGAGTGTTCTGAGGAGTCGAGTTTTTCGTTTGGCATTTGCTCGCTTTGAGGACACTGTGCACATGCCTAAGATGTTTTTGTCATCAGTATTTCGTGGTGCATGACAGACACAAAATTATTCTTTTTTATTTTATAAACAAATCTAGAGTTTAAGAGATGATTGACACTGCTTAGGAGTTTAACAAAATACCAAATGAATACCTAAAAGCACAGCAAAAAGAGAGAAAAATACAAAATAAATATATATAAATAGTTAAAAAAAAACTAAAACGAAATCAAATGAGTATTTCATAGCAATCTCACATGTTGCATAAATAAAAGAAATAGCAAAAATCAAAGAATAATAAGTGCACAATATTGAGGATTATAAACAGATTATAAATCGAATATTAAAAACATTCCAAAATTGAAAAACTAGCATGTATAATGTTAAAAAATCAAAGAAACTAAAGACAAATTAAAACAGTATTGAATTGGGTTATAAACAATTGCTCAAAAAGAAATAAAAAATAACAAAAATATAGAAAAATAGCTGTATTATAGTATTAAATTATTGATATAATTAATGGGCCTACCTTGTACCACAATTCACAATGACCTGGACAACAATATGAAACACCTGCAAGAATCAAATAAATGAATTCAAATAATACTTAATATACTTACGTAAATATACTTATGTAAATATTTGTGTTTCAATGCGTTCTATATATTTATGCTGTATATATACATACATATATATACATATATTAATTCAATGTTGAGAACTAAAATCAAAAAAACAAAATAAAATTGAAAAATAAATGAAAAAAAAAATCCGGAAAACAAAAGTCAAATGCAATGAATAAAACTCGTCAAGAGGAATGTGTTAACAAACAAATAGATGCAAAGGATATTTAAATACACTCACATACATACACAAATATATATAGTATATATATATACAATAAATGAAAAAAGAATAGATGAAAAAACAATAAATAACGGCATAGTAGTATACCATACACAATGTCTCTTAGATATACGAAATAAGTGTAATTTACGATTAATTTTCGATAGATTTACATAAAACCAACAATATTAATAAACGGCACATACATAAGCACATACACAGCCCATAAAATTAAAATAATTATTAAAAGTTAAAAAGAAGAAGACAGTTGAAACACATTTAATAACATAGTATGTGTAAATGCTGAGAGTTTTAACGCTGTTTTCCGTTGAAATGCCAATTAATTCCAAGCACCCACTTGATTTTTCAATTGTAATACGAGAAGAGCATATTCCAGTGGCTTATTCCGATTTCCATCCGATTACAGCTAAAAGCTCCTTCCTGGAATATCCCCAATATGCAAATGATTCAATATTTTATTCAATATTTGACTTTAGCTCAATTGCGTTTCGAATCCAATTGGTCTTTGAAAGCTATTTACAGATTCTGCTTGGGTAATCTCGGTTCTTCCGGGAATTAAATTTTTAAAATAATTTTTTTTATTTATTATTATTATTATTATTATTATTTTTTTTTTTCGGAGTTTTAGCAGAACTGAAAATATGCTTCATATTTTTGCTTTGCGAACTTTAGCATATATGTATAAATGTATGTTTATATAGACTGAATATTATTAAAAGGAAAATATATATAAAACAACACGAACAAACAAAAAAAATAAATAAAATTAAAGAAAATTGAAACAAGTTATTCGAATATTAATACCAACAGTTTTCGATTGTGTAAAATATATAAAGAAAATTGTATTAACCACAGCAACAACACAGAAAAGAAAATAAAGAAAAAAAAAAACAATAAGCACATATCAATAATTAAAAAGAAAACAATTGAACAATGAAATTGAAATAAAATTTATAACGATAATACAAAAGAAAATACAAATATATATATTAAAATTGTTTCTTCGAAAGAAAACTCAAAGTTGCATATTCTAAAAACCAAATCATAGTTGACCTCATCAACACATAACAGTAAATATAAAAAATAAAAAATGTTAAACAATCATTATAATATGTATACACATGTATGTATAATATATGCAATTAGATTTAAGAGAGGATATTTAAATATTATATTTTGTAGATTTTTAGCAAAGTAGCCGAAATGTCACGATATATACACATCTGCTATATATATACACTTACTATAATCATACTTACGATCATTGATCATCTCATTTGTAGGCAAGATACTGAACCTGTAGTTGTATTCAAATTGAAATGTTCAAGCAACAAACAAGAAATGGCAAAGCTTTAAGATACTAGAACTGTTGAACGGAAACCCTTTCAAGCTGGATAAGTGTAAGAAATGTTTCAGTTTTTAGCGAAAAGTTGTTGGCTCATCTGCTACATGTATTCGATAGTGTAGTGCGCATATCCCATAAATTGCTCAGCAGGCCACATATTAGCAGTTAGTGACTAAATCTATAGTTAAATCCAACACCCAAAAGCTTATTAAAGGAAAAAACAAAACAAACAAAACAAAATAAAATAAAATAAAAATTAAACCAAATAAATTACAATTTTAAATACCTAAAACTTGAATGAAATGCATAGGCGTATACACAGCTGCTATACATTTCAAAATATATTTAATTGTGAAGTTTAACAAGAATTAAATTAGTTCTAAAGCCAAGTGTTTACCTTTAAAGTATTTCTCCGCATTTAAGCATGAAAAAAAAAAAACACTATGAAAATTAACGAAATTGAATGAATAACAACAGCAGAAACAAAAAACTCTTCTAAATTATAGCACCAATTGCAACGACCTCTCAATTGTGCTTAAAGCAAAAAAGCCCAAACAAAAAGTTACAAAGCATATTTCAAGCAAAGGTTTTTTAAAATAGATATTCTATACAAGAAGAAAAACGGGAAATTTGGATTGTGAACAGCATCGGTGAAGGAGAAACACACTAAGGATTAGCTTAACAAATGGAGAACTACATGTATTATTACAACAAACAGAAATAACAAATTACACATACATATATGTAAAAATAAAAAAATAAAAAAAAACAAAATGAACAACTACCCATAAAAATATATATACTATATATATATATATATATATATATATATATATATATATATATATATATATATATATATATATATATATATATATATATATATATACTTTAATAATATAAAGTATGAATACCTATTATTATGTATTTGAAAGCAAACCATTGTGAATTAGTATTAAAACAACCAAACAACAAACAAGAAAGGTGGTAAATAAAGATTGTAAACGAAATCAATAAAAATGTGTAGAAGTCATGATTTGGATACGGATCGATACCTGACCAACGTGAGCTCCATTTATTTTACAGGCACAATACCATCTTCAAACTACTATTTTTCTGATTATAGAGTAAAAATAGTCTATATACCTTTGCCCACTACAACTAGCACAAAACGGAAAGATCTACATATATCTCCCAAATTTTTACAGCTACAATATTAAGGAAAATAGTAATTGTTAATGTGTTAAACTGATTTTTCAAAAATTTAATATGTAAGCCTCTTGGGGGCATGGTAAATAAAAATATACTTCATCTCTTGCTAGATTTAGCTAGAATTACAAAATTTTGTTACTGCAGATTTCCTCTTTATACTTACCACAAAAAGTTATCCGACAACAATATACCTTAACTTGTCAACTAATGGCAAATCTGGTTTCTGTTTCTCTCTGTTTAGTCAGTATCTTTTTATTAATAGTTAGAACAACTTCTTCGTCTTGACTTCATATTTCCGAATCTTTTCTTCCACTCAATCTTATGTTGATCTTATTTTCGTCTTTGCATTGATTACCTGGTAACTTTAATCACCCCACTTTCCTTAATACCTAGAAATGGTGAAATATATGGATACTTTCAAATATGTATATATACTATATAAGCGAATACAACTCTTAACTCTGGCAGGCATACCAACATATCTAATAATTGTTTTCTGAAAATCTGCATTTCAAATGCTAAACGCCTGACTCGTCATGGTCAGGAAAAATTGAATAATTTTGGTTTTGGGTAAATTAAAAATAAATATTAGCTGAGGTTATCATACAAATATTAAAATTTATAGTTTTTTATCTAGCTAGTTTTAATGTAATATATTTTTAATCAGTATGACAGAAAATCTAATTGTCGTTTTCTTTATTTTCATACATTTATAATTGATTTCAGTTTTAGTTATAGATACATTTAGTTTTACATTTACTTTTACTTTATTATTAAATAATTAGTAACATAATTTGGTTTACTGCGACTTAAACATTAATCATCATTTAAATGTATACATAATCACTTTATTTTCCATTCACTTTGCTTCACGTTTGTGTAATTCAACAAATCGTATAAACAAATACATAGAGGGAGACTGCGAAGGTTCAGTTATTACACTTTATATATCACGCATGGGAGGATGGGGTTCTGTGTTGTTGGCAGAACTTGGATAGAAATAACGAAATCTTATGGGAAAATAATATTAAAATCTTTTTAGTAAATAGTCATACAAAATAAGTGCAAATAATTTAAGAAAATTAATTTTGTAACTGAAAAATTCGTCGCTTTTTAAGAGAGTTTCAAATAAGATGGCGGCGAGCACTTCTTGCGCAGGAATTTGATTATGTACAGAGGTAAGCAGGAGACGACTGTAATAAGCGATACCTTCCAGAGAAAATCATATGACCAAATGAACTCCCAATCTGAAAGTATATACGAAACTCAAATAACATCTAACAGATAGAAATCATTATAATGCTCACCGAAATAATCGTGTAACACCGCCAGCGAGATGAGATATAGCGCCAAGCTGAATAGTTCCGCCAAGACCATAAGCCTGCGTCATAAACAAATCACAAAATAAATAAGGCTTTTGAAACTGATAACAGCTTGAGTCGGTCTAACCTGTGCCAGGTGCGCACCGTTAGCGCCACCATGATAAGCTCTGTCATAATAAGCGCTGAGAAACTGATAGCTACAATGTGTATAAACTCATCCACAAAGAGTATCAGCGCGCCGTACATGATAACACCACCCTGGTAGATGCTGATCAACACCCAGATAAAGAATGTCTTATAGCTGAGACTGCGCCCCTTCGATAGATCCTTGTAGAGCTCCGGGTATGTTACAGCTGTCTCTGATGTGATGTCCTGATCCAGAACCAGGGAAAATACAGGAAACATGGTGTACACCGTGGAGTAGCCCACCATCAAAAAGCCCTGATACAGAGCCACAGAGCTCAAGTAGAATACCGCTGAGAAAACTGCCTGCAGTGTCGTAATTATCAATCCACGATGGATGACGAACTGAGAGAGGGCTGCTGAGCGCTTGTAGCTGCGTCGCCCATGGATCAGCAGCAGCTTGGCAATGTGCGAGAATTGCGGAATGCTAAAGTCTCCAGCCAACGATGCCTGACGGCCTTCGCGTC